TATAGTTGTTATTACCAGATCTGCATGAATACCTTTCTTCCTTATTCGGCAGAATCGCATGTTGGATCAGTGTCGTTGTGGTAGTTGTTGTCAATGAGGGCACAGCGCAGTAGGCCGAGTAAGGTGGTGGAGGACTATTGGCTGGATTGTCCGATCCTCCTTTCATAAGCTGACGAGTGTCGTTTTCTGTGGAAGTAGTGACGTTCGGATCTCCGCTCATACGAGAAGGAATTCGCGTTGAGCTAGACTCTGATGATGTCTCCTCCAGATCATGATAGCCATCCTTCCGGTGAGGTCCAGAATTGTTTAACTTTTGCTGCGCTGGTGAAGGCTGTCCGTGGTGCAGCTGCTGCTGCTGTTGCGAGCTTGCCAACGAACTGTGTGATTCGCTTAAAGCGGGTGATTCGACAGGACGACGGAACCGTTCCAGGTCGAAGGACGCTGTTGGAGTTTCCTGTTGCATCGGTCCTTGCGGCTGAACTTGCCGCGTGTAGTAAGCTGACACGGATGGAGGGAGATTATCTGAGATTGTTGCAATAGTTGGCGCGGTAGGAGCGCCAGCACGAGATGCAATCGAAACGGATGATGACGCCGGTTGACAGGGACACTGCGGAACAAAGAAAGAATCGAAGATCGAATCAGATCACAGCTAACGGCTTATTTTGGGTGTTACTATAAAAGTAATAGCGATTGTGCACCTCAGCGTTTCAATCCCTTTATACTTATCGTATTTCATTTTTGCTACCTTGTAATAATAATGTACTTATGGGTGCCCTATATTATTGACTCTAAAAACCTTTTTCAAAGTTTTAGTGAGTTAGAGGAACTCGTAAATACGCTCGTGAACATTATATAGCTGACTAATACACACAAATGTTCGTTACCATCTCAAGACAACACACATACGATATGCACTCTGTGATAGGTAAAAAGACCATGTAGCTACAAAAATATCTACAGGATTCATCTGTTTCCATGTTTTTTTTTGTGTTATTAGGTATATATTTGACGGGGTGTGGCAAATCTTTTTCGCATACGTGATTTGTGACATTCCTCATGAGCCGCCATCATCATCTCCATTAAGATTTTTACTGATCAGCCCAAATCCTTAGGAGAAAGGGAAGGAAAGATGAAGATGCCTTTCTTTCTTGTACATGAATGCGTTTCACGAAACCTGACTGCTGATTGATTCGACGACCACCATTGCTCGACAGTAGCAAAATTGCTGATTTTTGAGGCGCCGCAGACAACAACGTTGACAATAACAACCAATTTTTTCACGCAAACGACGAAATAAAGGAAGACGCATGAAGAAAGAGGTGGCACATCGTCAATGAAATCAGCGACGATGTCTGAGCCGGTGGGTCTCTAAGGCCAACCAAACGGGGCCCCCGCTACGCAACATTTTTGGGGAGTGAAAATGAATGTTTGTAAAAGGGCGCGGTAGTCCGTTTTATCCGTGTAACTTTCTACAAATTCAGCTCCTTGCTGCGAGGTTTATGGATATTTCATCGACTGGCAGAAACCAGCATTGAGGTTCTACATATGCATACGTTTCTTTATTTTTCATTGAGAAAATGCACCCGGATACATGTGACCATACATTCTCTGCGTTCAATATCCTATACGTATGCGTATAATAGACAAACAGAACTGTCGACGAAGTCGATGAAATATCGCAAAATCGTTGACGAGCTCACTTACTGTAGACACCCCCTTTTTCGGCATGTGAAGAACTGTTTCTGACTTCTTAACCTTTAATATAAGATAACGATAGGAGGCCAGCCCATCACCTTTTACGATTGGACTCTACGCGCGAGTGAGTGTGCATACGTATGATTTTTTTTTACCTACGTAGTTATGTAGCGTGCCTTTGATTATAATCTGTACTCATCTGTCGTTACGTACTCATGCGTATTCGCGTTTGGGGCCATTTACTGCATTGCTCTAGTTGCTACAATCCTGTAACCTCTATGCTGTAAACGGAGGCCTACGGCCGCTACAGAAACAGATCGTCGCTCGATTTCATGGTTGCACGTCGTTATTTTCTTGACACGTTCTTAGACTTTTGCTCTCTCTCTCTCCCTCCCTCACTTGCTGCTTCTCGTAGCCTTCTGTGACTGAATAGAGTCGACTAATAAACTGTGTTATTTACTACTCGTACACAAGGCTAGCAGCCAACAACTACTTGCTACAATAACAATTGTTACTAACGCTGCTCCTTCTGTAGTTGCTGCTGCGTTGACACATATTAAAATTGAAAAGGCGAACGCTCCTAATCTACACCCGCCTCCCAAACGCTCTAGAGCACATCGAAACGGCTTGTTAAAAAATATGTGCTTTGCTTGAATACATATTTTCTGTGCGCATATACTATATATTCTTTCCTATTAGGTTGTACTTCAACCCCGTAAGTCGTAGCTGACTGATATGTAGGATTTGGCTAAGCCGTTCCAGTTGGCTAAAATGACACCACAGCAATGCAGTATATTATTTTTAGTGTCATCTCTGGAGCTTCTTGGGGAGTAGATATCCGTTTTTGCATAGCAGGGTCAACGTCAGCGCCGATTTATCTGCATAATGTGCCGAATAGGAAGCTATCAGTAGTAAATGAATACTGACGTTCACCGATGGGCTACGATATGCACCGTCAAGGCAAGGCCAAGTAAAATGAGGTAAAGCAGTGCTGCGAGATCTCTCTAGCTGTCAACCTCTGCCGGTACATAGAATAATACAAAGTGGGTGCGCTGTTCCGCAGCAGCAGCGCCGACAATGACGACTAGCATGGCTCCGGTCTGACATCGATGTTGACTGTCTAACTCGCTTTCTTCTTGATACTCTGTTGATTCTCTGCTGTTCGGTCATAAGATGAAAGTACGCATGTATTATATAGTAGAATTGGTGTTTATTTCCTTACTACGTACCTATCTATACGCATTATGTAGACGAAGGAAAAGACATGACTAAGAGATAACGACAGTCTGTGTAGTTATGCCCCGTCGCCCAAGAAGCCATTTAAGTGAATGCCGTCCTTTTGAATTCATCTTATAATCATTCGTTCTTCTTGTGTCTATTTCTACTCGGCTCTGCTTTCTGGAGAAAAAGCAAAAACCATTTTATCGTTCCTATTCATATTGTCCTAGGTTGAACCGGCGCAGGTAGGCACTATGAGTCGACTACATTCTCTACAGTTATAGCCGTCGCGCAATCGCCGCTGTGACCGCGCCGCTGGCGTCTGCATCACTTTAGACCCATTTTCAACCTAACTTTTTGGTTCATGTTCCTCCTTTATGTGTCTCTTTCTTGGGCTGCTCTACAGCCTTCTATTCTAACCCATCGTTTTTCCTTATTTCAACTGTCCTGCTGCTGGTAGCGATGTTCCTTTCTGGTTGAAACCGATCCGTCTTTCTCTCGAACCTCTTCCTGTTGAATCGTTTTGGTCTACCGTTTAGTTCGCCGTTGCTGTGACGTTTAGAACACTCAAAGGTTCTTAACTCCAGGGTACTGTTGCTATTACCTCGACCTCGACTCGATAACGTCTTCTAAGTATTAATGCGCTTACCGCCAATAACAACACAATTCCATTTTTACTTCCCGGGCAGTGGTGCACTCCAAGCGACTGACAAGCAGACAATCAGACTAACTACTCCGACCACCTCAGCCATTGGAAGCGGCAGCCGAAAAAGCAAAGACAACCGCCCAAACGAGCGTCTCGGCACTGCCGCGCCTGCTGCCGCTGTCTCCTCCACTCCTCGAAAATGGAAAATGAGCCTCTTTCCTCAACATCAAATGGCCCTAACTGAAACAAAAGCAGGTTTCAAGCCTCGAAATGTACAGCCATATCAAGTCAGAGTTATGATCACCATCATCATCGTTATTCTACCTACACTACATGTATTTCGCCTCCGGCCAAATTTGGACTGGCGCAGTCTGGACGTATCAGCAGAATGCACGAAGGATCGCCGTACTGGCTCCACTACATAGTAGCAGTGCCTGTGGAAACTAAGCGCACAATCAGTAAACAAGAGAAGCAGACGAAGGGCGATGGTTGATTTTCATCGTCACCGTCGTCGTTCTCCTACTCCTCCTCCTCTTCCCTCTCCTTCTTCTCCAACTTCTCCTGGTAGATGATCTACTAGGTGATTGTCACCATTGACGAGGAGGAAGCGAGAATTGAAAAAGAAGAACATCTTGACACATCTCTCATTTCGCCTCCTTCACTCATACAGCTTTTGTCAGATGCACGCACGCACGCCGCGCGCTCGCAAACAACTCAGTCAGTTAATCACTCACTCATTTTCTCGTTTGGTCGCTCCATTGGGCGAACAGAGTTAGTACGGACAGTTGTAGTAGTAGTAGATCTCTAAATATAAGTCGAGCAAAGAGTAGTTGCCGGCGATATGGAGGCCCCAGAACAGGCCGACCAATTGCCGGCTTTCAGGCTGGATATCTATCCTAGGTAGACTACGACTGAGTATCTACGCGGTCGTTGTGGTGATGCACCTTGCTAACTATCGGCTCATACTTGCCGACCTAGTGTCAGTGAGTGAGACATTGAGAACAGGCTGCCTGTAGAACTGTGAGGCTGCGGACATGCATATGTGGTATTCAAATGGTGTCCGCAGTACAATGACTCGGAGCGATAGCCTGGTGAACACGGCCAGTCCTTTTCTCAAGGATGGTCACCAACCCGCTAAGATCTCTATTCTAGCCTTTTAGCCTTACGGGTCGCCGTAAGGCGACGTGAAGTGGATCGAAACTAGGGACAGGTTGACATGCACACACACATCCAGGCGGACAAGCAGGAAACGCGCTTTCTATTCGTTTCGCCTTTCTTTCTTTCTGCCTCCAAAATTAATGCCGTCTCATAACGACTCGATTTCGTCGTAGGCTTCTGCGTTTCGCCTCTGACTTTATCTATCCTGTTGTCCAACAAACTTCTCCAAGCCGCGTTCTGTTCATGCCCGCAGACAGCAACGGCCGACACAGTCAGTCTCTCGTTCAACTATTTACATACGGTCGTCTTTCTTTCTTTATCTACTTTTCTCTTACTTTCGTCCCGTACCTCAGCGCCGCAAAGTGACGATTCGTACAGACGATAAAAGCTTGCTAAGCGATCCGTTAAACTACCAATATCTGAAAAGCTGATTATAGGCTTTATGAGCTTCCAAAACTGATCCAATAAACGAAGGCCACGATAATACAAGTCTTACTCAAAGAAGGAGAACCAAAGCCTGAAGAGGAAGAAATCACTGTGCCGGCTGATGTTTGCGAAGACATGTTTAAACAGCGCCCATCCATTAGCACATGCATTACCATAGATATATACATATGTTTCATTATCAGCTTAAAACGGCTTACCTATTGGAGTTCATCGATGACAGACTACCTTACAAATAATTAGCTTACTAGTGATCTGACTAGCCCATTCTAGCATGATATTTCAATTAAAAGATGAAAAATGCCGTGTTTAGTATTTAAGATATTGAAAGCTTTGGTGTCACATGGCTCGTATATACGGATAATGTAGTGACGTTGCGCTGAGGCCAGTGATACAAGCCTATAGTTAATAGCTATAATTATTGTTGTTCTCATTATTACACTTCT